ACATGATGCGCACGGTATTGATACCTGCGGTAACTGGCAGGGAGGCATTTTCGGACAACGAATGGGCTGTTCTTCAGCTTCCCACACGCCTGGGTGGCTTTTCCGTGCCACCCCTGTCTCAAATGGCTAATGGGGCTCTGGAGACGTCGAGGAAAATCACATCAGATCAAACGCTGGAGATACTCGACCAGAATGACCGGTCCAGGCCCTCGATATCGATAGAGCATGCAATTCATTCAGCCCAGCGAGCCAAGTCAGCAGCTCTGGCGGAACGGCTAAAACATGACGAACAGCGGTATATGAGCGCCAAGGAAACACTTACTCCGCTTGCCGCCCGCCGGTTGGAACACCTTTCGGCCAAGGGCGTGTCGAGCTGGCTCCACACCCTTCCGCTGCGTGAGCACGGCTTCAGTCTGTCCAAGTGCGACTTCCGCGATGCCATTGCGCTGAGGTACGGATGGCCTCTGAGGGATGTCCCGGAGAAATGCGTGTGTGGCCAGGATTTCACCGCGGCTCATGCGATGTGCTGCCCAACCGGGGGCTTCCCTACCATTAGACATAACGAGGCACGAGACATGATAGCGGACTTAGTCACGGAGGTGTGCCCTGACGTTTCTGTGGAGCCATTGCTCGCGCCGCTGGAGGGCGAAGTCTTCAGAGCTGCCAGCACCAACACGGCAAATGATGCCCGATCTGACGTCCGCATACGTGGATTTTGGACAAGGGCACAGAACACTTTCCTTGACATTCGAGTCTTTCATCCTGACGCCGCCTCGTACGCAAAGAAGCCCATCGCTGACCTCCTTCTCCAGCACGAGAGGCAGAAGAAGCTGCAGAACAGCGAAAGGATTGTCAATGTTGACCGTGGTAACTTTACCCCGCTTGTCTTCACCACGGCTGGCAGTGCATCCCCAGAATGCTTGCGGTTTTTGCAGCGATTATGCGCTATGCTGGCACAGCATGATGGCAAGCCCTACGGCGAGGTTATGGCCTATGTCAGATACCGTCTGTCGTTTGCACTCCTCCGAGCTGCAGTTATGTGCATCAGAGGGGCTCGCTCTGCATACCATCGACCGGTAAATGCATTGCGCCCACTAGCCATGGCTGAGGGACGGCTGTAACAGTGGTGTGTATAACCTCGCTAATGGCAGTGTCCTCAATGCTAATGGACGCGTCATGTTTTTGTTTATAATTATTTAAGGTGCAATTTAGCGCTGATGTGGGTATTTCTTTGCTTTTCTTCATTTGGTCCTTTAAAATGAAGCGGCTTTTTATTTCCTTTTCTTCTTTTGCACCGAGATATTATTTCTTGCTGGTTTTTTACCGGATGTGTCACGACTTTGAATTGAATTGAATTTTCCTGAATTGATTTGATTTTTAGCGTTATGAGCGGCTTTATTGACATTGCTCTTCAGATTGGATTTTTTTGGCCCGTAAAATTCAGTACAGTATGATTCAGTACAGGATGAACAGTGATGAACATTAATTTTCTTGTCACATTCATCAGTGGAAAGTCGTGACTGAAGAGTAACCATGCTGAACAATGATTAAATATACATAACACAAGATTTAACAACAGGAACAACAACAACAACAACAATGGTAACAATTTACCATCAAGATCAAAGGAGGAGTCAACGAGCGGAGGTTAAACAACATGAAGCGAGCCTGGGACCGATCGGTGTTGATGAGGAGAATGACACGGAGGATGACACTGAGGACGAGTTGGGAGATGAGACGGAGGACGAGGTTACGGTTGTTGGAGACGAGGAATCAGATGGTGATTGTGATCGTAAGAAGTTTGCCGTTTTTCTTCACTTGTTGTCTCACCCTAAGTGTCTGCAGGTGTATGATGATTTTAGTTTTTCTGTTCTTTGTCGTGCACGGTATGCTAGTCAGTTGAAAGTACTTGAGGCTGTTTGTATTCGTTTGCATAAGCCTGATCTTTGTAAGCAGAAGAAACATGTAGTTGCGTTAAAATTGTTTTCGTAGGTGCACTGCATGATTGTTTGTCTCACTACACACTTTTAGCGTTATAATAAATTAGTTTCTCACCCGCCGTTGCACTTAGGTCTCACTTCACCTCTATTGCCTCACCTTCCCTCATTCTATTTTGGCACTGTATTTTGTTCTCGTAACACATCATTGAATGTATATTTAATCATTGTTCAGCATGGTTACTCTTCAGTCACGACTTTCCACTGATGAATGTGACAAGAAAATTAATTCTGGTAAACTTTCATGACTTCGTTGTAGTGTGGCGATGACTGCAGAATTTGTTCTCTTTATTGCTATTATAAAATTGTTGTCTCCACGTCGATTATTTACAAATGTAATGTACTTATTATACATGACATGTACACGGCGTTTTGCGGACTACCCGCCACTATCTCGTCCGCCCTGGGATACCTGATGAAGGCTTATTCACTCGCATCTTCTGCTACATGTACTGTGTCAGTGTGAGAAAGAACTTTGAAGAAGACGAGTTTGAGCATACAATACTGTATTGCCATGATTTCTACCCTGTTTTTCATTGAAAACACTATCTGCATGACCTCCGAACCCTTTACCACCAGCACTGATCAGGTGCATTGTACACATCGTATAGCCTACATACTAGAACTGTGGTATAATCGTGTAGTCATGCTCCTACCTCCTAGAGGATGCCAAATTAAGCTCCAAATTTTCAACCACCAAATTATGCCAATACCGTAAAGTCGCGGATAAAAGTCGGGCTTATAACCACATAAGCCGCTTTCTGCATCAGGCTTCAATGCAAACCAGGCTTGTATGCAAACAATGCTTGTATGCACCACTTATATTTGCCAGGCTTGTATGCACATCGGCCGGTAATTATGCCGGCACAATCCGCCGGTGCCTAGCAGTGAATTGCTTCGGCAGGGCTTTTGGACGAGGCCATCACTAAATACCAGCATTGAATAATCGTGAGCTTACCACAGAGCACAAATGAAGCATTGTAGCATGAAATTACTTTGTCTGAATACGATTAGCTGCACAATAGCACAGACAGCTAGTAATGGAGGTAAAACATAGCATCACCAGTATTGTCACGTGATTCCTGGAAGCAGTGCAAGTTACGTATCTAATATTGACTGAGTACGAGGTCAATATAGGAAATAAAAGCCGAGTAAAAGACCGAGGCGAAGCCGAGGTCTTTTACGAGGTCTTTTATTTCCTATTGACCAAGTACGAAGTCAATATTAGATTTATCACGACAAACAGTCCGTATTTCAAATTCCAGAACGATAACCTCATGAATCCCGGTTTTATGATTGCACAATCGTTGCACCACCACCTACTCATGCAGTGAAAATGCTGCACTAGGCACCGTTCAACTGCGCAACCCCTAAGCAGTCAAATAAAAGCAGTCAATATAGCCCTAAGGAGTGAAATATGCAGGAATATTTGTGCAAATTACAGATTTAGTTATCAATATTTTATCTAAGCTTTCGCGAAGTCCGGACGCAGTACATTACTACAGTAGCGTGAAAGATAGAAGAAAAAAGCAATGATATCCGTGTATACCCGGAGAGAGAGGTGAGAGTGGGTGGGAGTAAATGAAAGAAATTGTACAAGCTTAACATCCTTGCAACGAGAAAGAGCAGAGAAAAAGCTACAGCGATTACACAGGCTACCAGTATGCATACGAGGTAATTTGGCAGCTAAACGAGAGCAAATTATCGTGTACGTCTCACGAGTCACGACGGCCGCTTTTTACATCCGTGAGGCCCAACATACTTGAATGCAGCTTCACATTTTCTATTCATTTTCTTCATGTTGCGCTGCTGTTGCCGTTTTCCACGATGTGACGAGGCTCTCCGTTATGCTTCTGCTGGTTTTCCTGTGCAGGTATGTACCGCCGTAGCTCAGAAATCTTGGGCCAGAGCCAAAATAGTATCACCCACATCCTCCTCTCCTTCAGGTTCACTTGTAGGTTTGCCATTCCTGCTTTTAAAAACACCTCCTTCAGTTCTGTGTAGAACTTCTCCGTTTTGTTGTTTTTATCTGCCCATACCATCTTAAAGGCATTTGCACTGCTCAGTGATGTCGGCGACAGTCACCTTCAGCTCACCATTTTTCATTTTTTCCTTAATTGTTTTGTGTCCTTGAGGTTGCATTTGAGGCTGACTAGTTCTTCTACCTTTCTTTTGCAAACAATCTTGTCTAGTGTTCAGTGATCGAATCCAGTTAACGTTGAAGCGCCCTTATTTCTGTTTTTGTTATCCTCTCCCATGCCGTTGTACATAAGCGGCTTGCCGCGGATATGTCAATACTACTACTACTACTATTTCTGTTTCTTTTTATTCTTGTACGCCGCTGGTTGCAACTGCGCATTGGTTTGCGAGAATCTCTTTTCACCTGAAGCAACGAGAGTTTCAAAGCACCGACACAAACTGGAAGCATGCCCAGTTTTCAGACAACTAAAAAAAATGTAGCTACTTCCACATTCTTATGTCAGAGCAGTGCCTGGTCGTGCAGAGTAATACTACTTCAGTAAACACATAGCATGGACAGAACTACAAGGACACATTACGTCACCATAATGTCGGCTGCACGACCTTTCACTGCTCTGACATAAGAATTTTGAAGCGGCTACAAAAAAAGAAAAGAGGACACATGTCAGGTTCTTGGCCAGCACAGTTCCTTAGCTCTTGCCTGTATTCCACCCGAACTGAGCAGGCTTCAAGACTATACAGCACTTAGTGTCGTCACAGGATAACTTTCAAATTGCTGCTGTTCAAGAAGCTGACGTACATGTATGATTATCCTCTTTCTAAGTGTAAAACTGTCTACAATCCAGTGCACGATATCAATAGATACCGTTTCAACGTGGCCATATGCATGAGCTTGTCCAGCTGGCCCCGGCAGGAACAATGGCCGCTGCTGCCCAGGTCTGCCCGTCGGGTGTTAGGCACCGTCCTTGCTCGTGTTACCTCAACCCCCCTGGCCTGGCCCCTTGTCACAACAAAACCACGCTCTTTATCGCTCATTTGGCTTTTCAGGTTTCTTTCAGTGGAAGTTGCAAGACTGGTGAAATGAAGAGATGCAGCACATGATAGTGGAGGGAGCAAAGAGAGGAAAGGCCACGAACTAACAAACAATGAACAATAATAGCCAGATCTAAGGCACGGACGAATCGGAACAACCAATGAGACACGAGTACGTACAACACACCTGACGAAAACCAAGACAACGACACTGTGGACGAATCACTCTCAGACTCTCACTCTCAGAGCCTCACTCCCAGACTCGACGTACACCACGCATGCTGCACGTATCCAACGCATGCGCAACACTCACTTGGCAATCAGTCACACAGTGACGGAAGCAGATTCTAATCCTCGCCATCCAACAATGCCGCGAATTCTTGCAAGCCCCACATGCAATATACATGTACATCACGCATCACACCATACTCACACATACACTAGACTGTGTATGACACATGACGTCATCAGTAGGCACTAGACGAAAACCAGAAAACCAGAGTATGCAGAAATAAAAAGGAGTCACATTTCCGTAACTCTTCCACCACAGTGTGCTGTGGTAAGTGTTGTCTTGTTCAGTTTTAACAAAGGACTGAGTAGAAACTACTAGAAAGAGGTACAGAGAAGAGCAACAGCGGTCAGTATCCACGGCGATGCTTTAAGAAAGGATCACTGTTTTGAGTGATCACTTAGATCTCAGAACATTGAGATTAGAATAAGGGCGAGGGCGTCTCAGCTGCTGTTTCAGCTCTTCAACTTTTAAATTCGGCCCACCGTGCACAATGTGTACAAAAGTAAGCGGTGATAGGCTCAAGTCCAAGAAGGCAATGAGAGTATGATCTGCAATGTGCGTGTCGGTGTGTAGGCTGAAATTGTCTAGCTGAGTTAGTTCTCCCATACTTTGAAACAAGTCATCTATCTGAACATTTGAATCCAGTACAGTCAATGTCTTCAAGTTGCGCAGCTGCCTGATTGCGGCACCAAGTCTGGGAATGTATTGGAAAGACTCATAGTGGATGTCACTCAAGTGCAGACACTCTAGTTGTGGAAGCTGAGATGCCAGCATTTCAAGGTCTGTTTCTGAACACAACGACATTCCCTGCAACGACAGCGAGTGTAGCCTGGATAGTTTTCCCAGTGTGGACAATGACCCGAAATTGTCGCGAAGCACAATCCTCTCCCTTTCGGTCCAATATGTACCATGCCTTGTGTTCGGGCTTGGTATACCAATTGCACCACCAATAGTTAGACAGGACAAATTGGGGCAGTCAACCACTAGCATCTCAGCGCTATCTTTAGTGCCATCTCTGGGATATTCCCTGAGAGTGTACGAGTAGGGTATCCAATGTGAGCGATATAGATACGAAAAGTCACGGAGCAACGGGAAATGTCCGGCCATCTCAACAAACGCATCACACGGTGCTGCTGTTATCCAGTGACATGTATCCAGGTGAGTGAACTTGTTCTTTAGGCATGAGAACTTCTCAAAGAACTCAGTATCATACTCGACTCGCCGCACCAGTATGTATTTTAGTTGGAGAGCAACACTCAGCTGCGTGATCTGTGCATTGTTTTCCAGGATTTCAAGTAACTTTTCTGATTCAACATGGAGATAACCACCACCAGTCAGCACTAAGCGTTTCAGATAGGGATAGGCGCCAGAGGCGACTGGGAACTTAATCGATGGGTTAAAATTTTGAATGTTGTAGTTAGATGGCTGCCATCTTGCATTATACGGAATGCCTCTCTGTGTGCAAGCAGGTGGGATGTTGCACAATGGCCAGTCAGTAAATGCTTTAGCGAAATCCTTTTCAGTACAGAAGTATAACCCAAGGCTTTGCAACTTTCCCGCACTACCTGGTATTCTTTGGAGCAGTTCCTGAATACCAACACCAGCATCATGCTTGTCAAAGTATCCGACACAATTGATTTGAAGTGTACACTTGACTGCTAATGATACCACTGTGTTCACATCTGTGGGAGTAAAGGAAAAACAGTCAGGTCCTGAACCAGTTTGTGAACGTCCTACCGCTAAGGTAATCCGAACATGCTGTAAGTTCTGGCACTCAATTAGCGCATTCAGGATGGTGATGTCTCGTCCTAAGAAACACATACTGCAGTCAAACACTGCAAGGTGTGGCATCAAATTTAAAACTTGCACTACAGTACTTGTTGAGGTCCTTGGCGTGGGTGACGGCATGAAACACTCTCCCACCAATTCCAACTCTTTCACATACTGTCCACATTTTTCAGCCAAACAAAGAAATCGCCTGGTTGCGCTGCCAGACTCTCCACCATGTCCGCGGAAATCAAAGTAAGTTTTCTCGCACACCGTACCTTTATGTCCATCGGCGACCATTGCGAATTGCCTACACACGGTTGCTAGATGATGAACGTAATACCATCCATCGGGCAATTTACCGAATATCAATGCCCATACTTCAGTCGGTAGTCTGGGCAGTGTTGGCGTGGGTGCCGCCATTTGCTCCATTGGCTGCTGGTGGACGTTCTCTGTAACGACGTTTCTTCAGGCTTCCTGCTTGCTGCACCGTTTGTCAACTGTTCACGGGAATCTTCGTTGCAAACACTCGCCGCTATACTGCAACCAGTGACCGCTCCACTGCAAACTGCATGCTCCACTGTGAATCGTTCCACTGCAAACTGCTGAAAACTGCCCTGCTCGTTGTTGGCCTCCTGTTCGTTCAACTCCGTGGCGAACGCGTCGACAAGGAAGCGGACTGCTGTTGGCGCCCTGGAAATATTTTCTCTCTATATACCTTGAATATTTTGCGCCCACCGTTGGAGAAGTCTGGTTCACACTGTACTACTACTAGGCGGATTTAGCGGCCGGTATACCATGATATACATGTAAGAGTTGTACCAAAACTCGTGAAGATCGGCGCGAAAATCGCCTAACTCATTCTGTACTGGTATCGTTAGCACCAAGTAAGCTTACACTTCAAATCAGACAAAATAATGATCAGAAGGTGTGGAACAGTCCTGCGAGTCCTGGTCCTGCTCTGCAGGATCTGCTGCAACGATACATGAGGTGCAGGAAGGTTGCAAAGCCTTCCGGTATACGACCGTGAGGCTGAGGATTTCGCTAAACCAAGGACTTAGCCGCCATAGGTACAACATGCCACTAGGCACCGGCGGATTATTGGCATAATTAATATTTGGTGGTTGAAAATTTGGAGCATAATTTGGCAATGGCATCCTCTCGGAGGTAGGAGCATAACTACACGATTATACCACAGTTCTAGTATGTGTACAATGCACCTGATCAGTGCTGGTGGTCTACATGGTAAAGGGATCGGAGGTCATCATGGTCATGCAAAGACATGCAGATAGTGTTTCAATGAAAAGCAGGGTAGAAATCATGGCAATACAGTATTGCATGCTCGAACTCGTCTTCTTCAAAGTTCTTTCTCACACTAACACAGACATGTAGCAGAAGATGCGAGTGAATCAGCCTTCATCACTCAGGTATCCCGGGGCGGACGAGATAGTGGTGGCCCTGGCGGGTAGTCCGCAAACCGGCTCCGTGATGAGTCCGTGTACTACAGTACATTACGTGATTTGTACATTATGCATGTAACTTGTTACGAAGTCATGACCTCTGGTAGTCTGGATTTTAGGCTAGCAGCCATGATACGACTGCAGGCTATGGATATTGCTCTAAATTGATATAAATTATAGTTGATGTTCGGTCATGATGGAAGGAGAGGTGGAGCTACGGGAGAGATGAGCTGAATATTCGCAGGGTGAGGGTGACATCGGTTGGACGAGTATGATTATAATATTATAATTTATTACAACATCGCTCCGGTTCAAGTAGCCCATCAGATTGCTCCGTCATCGACTACCTAGACAGCTCATTACCTGCAGCACAGCAACTCGGTCACAGTGACCATGTAGTCATTGCAGGGGACTTTAATGTCCACAATTCCGCCTGGCTCAAAAGTAGTAAAACAACATTAGCTGGTCTTGCACTGGAGGATCTAGCATCTGCTTATTGCCTCACGCAGCATATCACGGATCCCACTAGAGGTGATGCCATTCTAGACCTTGTCATTTCAGACTTGCCTGGACATGTGAGCACTTCTATCTGTTGTAGTGGTTCTACAAACGCACCAAAGACATCTTGCAACTAGCTTCGTTTACAACAAATCACAAATGTGTGGGAATACATACAGAGAACGACAGAGAGATCAAAGGAAAAGCCAGGCAGGCAGGTACATGTACAGCTAAAGTGCATACGGTACAACACGGCATGTCGTACAGCGCGGCCGGATGAATGCATACATGTTACATAAAAGGATACAATGACAAACAGTGGGATGTGCATCCACTACATCTCCCCTCTGAGATAATAGAGAAGATGAGGAGTCCAAAGACTATTCGATAATGTAGGTATTGTTTGTAGAGCAAGTTGCAGTGAAAGAATGATGTGCAGAGACGACGGCAGATACGTCTCGGCACGTTGCTGAATTAGCATGATTCAATGAGGCGGTTGACAGGCTGAGGAGCTCTAGTAGAGCGACGGACTGGATCAGCTGCTTTGCCACCGTACTCAACCTCGACGGTCGGCTTCTCTGCTTCTGGAAGTGGCAGTCGGATCAAGTGACGACGATTGCGGCGAACAGTAGAGTGACCAGACTCAATGAGGTACGAACGATTGGACACTTGCTCTACTATCTTGCCCCCCCCCCCCCCCCCCGTTCGAGATAGGCGATGAATACACGGTCATGAAGCTATAGAGTCACGAGAGGCTTAGCTGCATGCCGTTGGTCGTAGTGGAACTTCTGCTGCTCCTGGGACTGAGTTTCCGATTCCAGAATACTAGGGAGATCTGGCCATTTCGGTTCCAGCTGCTCAGTCGTTGCAGGTAGACCGGTACGGAGCTGGCGGCCATACAATAGCTGACATGGGACATAGCCGTTGCTCAGCGGTGTCGTGCGGTAAGCCAAGAGTGCATCTTGCAGGCTTTCGGCCTTCCGCAGGAGATTCTTGGCGGTGCGAACTGCACGTTCCGCTTCGCCATTCGACTGAGGATACCGTGGACTGGAAGTGCGATGGGTGATGTCGTTTGCTGTGCAGAACTCGCTGGCAAACTGAGGACCGTTGTCTGTAACCAAGGTGGACGGGAAACCATGCTCGGCACAGATGCGGTGCAGATGCTTGATGACAGCAATCGAGGTTGTGGCAGTCAGCGGTACGACATCGAGGTAACGCGAGAGATAGTCAACGATGACGAGGTAAGTCGTGCCGTTGAATTCCATCAGATCTGCACCAACCGTGTGCTACGGCAGTGTTGGGCGTTGGACGGGTTGCAGTGGTTCGGTCGACTGGACGCGGTGTTTGGTGCACACTTCACACGTAGCGACCATCGTGTCGATTTGCCTTGACAAGCCTGGCCACCAAATGGAATGGCGGGTGCGAGACTTGCACTTCGTTGCACCTTGATGTCCCTCGTGGAGCTTCTCGAGCATCTCAGGCTGCAGAGAGGGTGGCATGACAATGCGGAAACCATGGTACAGCACACCTTGCTCACAGGACAGTAACTGGCGTTCATGGAAGTATGGGCGCACAGTGTCGTCGACATCACGTGGGTTGCACGGCCATCCGTGTTGGACGAAGTGGAGGACTTGCTTGAGTGTCTCATCTTGTGTGGTGGCGTCAGCAATGCCGTGGGCTTTACCATCCGACACGATCTCACCGATGTAAGATGTGAGGTTGCTGCTGATCTCGTCTTGGAGACTAGGCGTGTCGTCACAGGCGAGCGGAGCGCGAGACAGAGCATCGGCAACAGCTAGCTCTTTGCCAGGGACATACACGGCAGCTGGATTGTACGTGAGCAGGCGCATCAGGAGGCGTTGACATCGCATCAGGACACGGTTCAAATCACGCGTATTGATCAGCGGGATGAGTGGTTTCAACTGGTTTGTGATCCGTCTGGACAGTGAGGGACGAGTTGCCGTAAATGTAGCCGTGGAATCGCTCACAAGCCCAGACAACAGCCAAGCACTCCTTCTCGATCTGCGCGTACTGTTGCTCAGTAGTGGTGAGGCTGCGCGAGGCAAATGCAATGGGGCGCATTCCGTCGTCATGCTCCTGCGATAGGACAGCTCCCAAGCCGTAACTGCTGGCATCAGCGCTGATGACCGTGGGCTTGGTTGGGTCGAAGAACGTGAGGCAGGGCGCATTGGTGGCAAGCTGTTTGAGCTTGTCCAGGGCCTGTTGTTGTGTAGCAGACCACTCCCATGCGGTGTCATGCCCCAGTAGAAGACGCAGTGGAGCGCTGACTTCCGAGAGATTGGGAATGAAGCGTGACATGAACGCGAACATGCCGAGAATGCGCTTCAGTTCCGTGACGTTCTTGGGCGGCTTCAGATTAGCGACGCTGGACACTCTCGCTGGGTCAGGGTGGAGACCTTTGGCGGAGAAGATGTGACCAAGGAACTTCACTTCGGCCTGACGCTTGTGACATTTCGTCACGTTCAGCGTGACGTTGGCTTTCTGCAGGATGTCTAGTACGGCAGCTAGGTTACGGTCGTGTTCTTCTCGCGTACGGCCAGAGACAATGATATCGTCCATGTAGACGAACACGCCAGGGAGCTGGTCCAGAAGGTTGGTGAGACGCTTCTGGAAAATCTCAGGTGCTGATGTGATGCCGAATGGTAGTCGCTTGAAGTAGAACCTGCCGAACGGCGTGATGAAGGTGAACAAACGGGCAGAGTCGGGACTGAGTGGGACTTGCCAGAATCTGTTAGCAGTGTCCAATGTCGTGAACACAGTCGCTCCGGCCAGTGAAGACAGGGCGTCTTCTAACGTTGGCAGCTGAAATGTCTCCCGCTTGACAGACGCATTAAGACGCTTCAGGTCGACACAGATGCGTACCTTGCCGTTAGGTTTGAGGACGGGCACCATAGGCGAACACCAGTCTGTGGGTTCGTCGACACGCGCAATGATGTCGCCATCTTCCATGCGGTGCAGTTCTTCACGTACTTTCGAATACAGGTGATGAGGAACTCTGCGAGCTGTGCGGCAGTGATACGGTGTGGCTTCGGAAGTCAAGTGAATCTGCGCAGCAGGACCAACCATACACTGTAGGAGCGGGACTGGACCTTGCACTTCAGCCAGACGCTGGACTAGACCCAGTGCTGTGCACGCAGATCGGCTGAGCAGGCTAGTGCTGGCACCATCTAGAACAAAGATGGGTATGGTACTGGTAGTGGACTGGGATTGAAAGGAGCAGTGAGCCTCAAATACACCCAGGACCTGCATAGTCTGGTCATTCGCTCCTCTCTACTCAGCTGGGCACTAGTAGCAGATAAGGACGGCTTGGGCTGCAGTGTATTGTATAGTCCAGCAGCCCAAACTTCAAAATAAAATTCCGTTTTAGTCTCAAGCAGACAACCTGGGTTCTTCACTATGGCCTAAAGTATGTATACCTGACCTGGATTCCGCTTGTTGTCATCTTCAGAGTTAGGGCAGAAGCTCAGGAGAAGCCAATTTCTCCGCTCTCGTCGGCGATACTGCGCACCATCTGGGGGTGCACAGTTCACGGAAAGGAGCGCCTTTTTCAAATTTTTGAAGATGACGACGACACCGACAGGATACTCTTTGAAATGTAGAATTGCATTTTCGTTTGGTAGTTGCATAGTAGTTGCGTTTCGCGCTGTTTGAGTGCCTCCTGCCCACCGCTCACAGCATAGTAGACACCTTTTGACATGATGGAGGAAGAGGCCGTGGAGCTTCTTAGGCCTCGTCCTGGGAATGGCGTTGTATCGCGGGAATTTTGCTTGTGCCATTGCGTTCAATGCATCGCAGGAAAAGCAAACCCGATTTACTTTGCAGAGTTGGGAAACTTTGTTTGAAGCTGCTAAATGCAGGCAGGACGAGCTATACCTTCTTGTGCGAGAGCCACTGCACCGAGGAGAGCGTCCGCGGATGGTACCACCGCAAGTGCTACAGTACATACACTAACAAAACGTTGCTGGGTCGGCTGCCACTTGGACGTGGCCATGACTTTTCAAGCCATTCTGAATTGGAGGAGATACATGTATGTGATGATGGGACACCATGTACCAGCAAAGCGTAGAACAAGGAGAGATGTACAATGATTGAATCCACATCTGCAGACTTGTGCCTCATGACATGTGCATCTATCAGAGTTGGAGAACAACGCAAGAATTTTGGCTTTCGCTCCAGAATGGCCCAGATTGCGTTGCAGCGGAAATCCACTATCAACATCGGAGCATGCTACAGTGCCTTCACCCACCTGGCCACTATGCACCGGCAACGAAGTGGCAAAGGGAGTGACCAGCCGTCGGCCTACGAAACATTTGACAGCCTGGTGCCGTATACAGTCCGAGTTGAAGTCTGCAAGGGCCTTGCCCATGAAGCTTCTCACGGATAAGTACAATAACTGCAAACGGCACCAGCTTGGCCGACCATCACACTCCGCCTTAGTATCCAACTTTCATGCTGAAAAAGAAGATAATGAGCTACCGGTACTTGGGGACCAGGTGAGTTCTTGGCATTGTTGAATGTGTAGAAATAATTTGATCATGTTTTATTGTTTGGTCATGACCAAGGGAATCCAAATAACACATACGCTCAACTACAAGATCACATGATTGCATGTACACACCAGATCATGAGTCCAGGCTCAACTCATGCACAGCAACTAAAAGCCGCTAAGTTCATTTCACACGCGCGCTCGGGAAACGGCACATGCTGCATGCATAACCTAACACGATGCGCTACTATCATGAATGTCTGGGTGGCCAAGGAATGCCACAATGTGTATGTAGACGTGAACACTACAGTGCCTGACATCTACAACATAGGAATGTATTAAATGGAATGCAAGTGTTCATGCTCATGTAATGTGGTAGTCTTCTTTGGTTGAATTACGTTCGTGGCTGTTACACGTATTATTACGACCAGCTTGGCTCTCGCGCTACTTCACACGGTACACATGTAGGTCAGAATAAGTCAGGGCTTGTGGTCCGAGTCAGAGTAATGTCCAAAGCTGACGTCAGTATTCTAGGCTGACTTTATGGAAGAAGAGACAGGATTATAAACTGGTTGTTTTCTAAACACAATTGTATAGCCCGTGATAACGCGGACATGCGAACTTGACTTGTTTAAGGATCGAATTTCATTGGCGTGTTTCATTTGCGTTTTGTGTTTGAACTGTGTGTTTCCTTCAGCAATTGACATGTATGGTAAGTGGCATGGGTATACAGGCGCACTCTTCACGGAGCAACCACTTGTCTGTGTCGTCTGCAAACGGTCCGATGGCCGGTAATACCCAGTCATTGCCGAACAGTCATACTAGTAACGCACCTAGCCCAACTCCAACCATCCCAGTCCAGCCGGTCGCCGCAGATTTCCTGCCCGCATCCACGTCCACTCCGCACCCCAGTGTCCGGCAAGAGAACGGGCCCAATGCCAGGAGTTACAACGGGCCCACTGCCAGGAATTACGATAGGCTCACTGCCAGGAGTTACGATAGGCCCGCTGCGATATCCGCTGGGCTTGTCCCCACCAATGTCGTGTTGCCCACTCATTTCGGCTTCAAAGGATCCGCTACTCCGCCGCATCAGGTGAACACCAGTGGATCAGTTTCATCTCTGGGTACTACATCAGCCTCCAGTACAGATGTGTCAGCTAGTAAGGCTTTGACTACAACCTCGGGTGCGAGGCAACCAGTAGCGGCTGCGGTGTCTTCTACAGCGCCATCTCAACCACGGTCGCAGCAGGTTCTTGCTGATCTCTAGCGTGCTATGTGGTGTGTGAGTGTGTGCGCGCGTGGACGCGCACACACAATGCCATGTGTTGTGCGGTGTGTGTGTGCGTGCGTGTGGGGTTTGTGTATGTGTGTGTGTGAGCGCGCGCACAATGTCATGTGTTGTGTACGTGTGTGTGTGTGTGCGCGCGCGCGCATGCACACAATGCCATGATGAGGGTGAAGGCAGTTTCGACAGTGGATTGGACTGTAAGTTCGACTGTGAATCGGACAGTTACCGTAATGTCGCGTGCATAAGCCGGATTTGTGCATAAGCCTGTCTCGTGTAGAAGCATGAAATCTGCAACAGCTTTTCGCGTACAAGCCTGTCGCATGCATAAGCCGGGCCAGTACACGAGACGCGCCACGTGTCGCGTGCGTAAGCCGGGCTACTACGCAAGACTGGTGAGCGCGCCTTTTACATGTTCATGTTTGCATGGTACCATACACTTGCACACGCGGAAAACGTGGGAAGATGCGGAAAGAAAAAAAATCCCGTTGGAAAATGTTGGTTTTGACGTCCAAAAGTCAGCAGTTCGCGCATACAAGCCTGGTCATTGAGTGGTGCTTGTCATATAAGCCTGTCTCGTGTATAAGCCTGTCTTGTGTACAAGCCTGACTCCATCACCGGCTTATAGGCATATAAGCCCCGGCTAATGCACGCGACATTACGGTAGTCTGAAAGCTAAGGCTAGTGGACCGCACTATTGAAGTTTTTGAATTGATTTGAATTTGAATTGTATTTTTCAACTCTGCAGCAAATGACATTTTTATACACTACTGCGCTATTATTTACAACATCTTCCATATCGCTCGTTTGCTAAGATCAGCTTATGATTGCTATCACTCTGCAGTTTTCCGGTGTCCTTTACTTCGCTCGTGCTAGCTCTCTTCCGCTGGTGTTGTCGAGATAGTGTCCCAATAAAGGAAATCCTCTCATACGAAAGATCCATGTTTGGGGGTGATTTTGGTCAAATTTTACAACAAATCAATCTGTGCCATCTCTAATCACCATCAATAGGAAATGAACGCTCGGCAAAGGGCAACCATGATCTACAAATCATCCAAACACAAGAACAAATTCACATCGACTGTACTAATTTTCAATAAAATATCGTATCACATGCTGCCAATTTCAATCAAGGAGTCGTAAAATAACGTAAAATAACGACTTCCGTAACGAAACCTAAAATTGGTTCTCCCCAGCTTATGCCCTAGTTCTGGACATGACAACAAGCCGTTTCGACATCCCTAGGACATGGTCTTTCCACCCATGCAAAGCTCAGGTTGTCTGCTTGAGACTGAAACGGGACTTGCAAAACAACGTCTTTTAGATTTGGGCCGCAGGACTAGTATGATTGCACGGACATGGTAGAGAGACATCAGCTCCAGTATCTAGCTTGAGCTGGACTACACTCTTTCCGATAGCTAGATCTGCCAACCAGGGTGAATCACTTACACTTTGTGCGCACGTCGTGTGGCCAACAAATAGAGAGTCCGGAGAGTCGTTCGTGACGGCAGAGGTGGACGGTTTCGATCGGCAAACTCGCGCGAAGTGGTTGCGCTTGCCGCAGGCTTTGCAGCACTGGCCTCTGGCTGGGCACTGATCGCGTTGCGAGTGGTGGCTTCCACCACAGTTCGGGCACTTCGATTCGGTCGCAGGCGGCGTTGCTGCAGATTTGTCGCTACCATGCGGTCTGCTCTTCGGCATAGATCGACCACCACGGTGCGACTGGACAGCTGAGGCATCATCGTCTGAAATCGAGCTGGCGGCGGCCAAGCCACTGCGAGATTGGGCTGCAACCTGTTGCTGGACAGTAGGGAGGTTTAGTTCCCACGTAACGGAAACGCGTACGTGGGTGATCCACGTAAAGTGGATGAAGGGCACCCACGTTGCAATGTTGTGTTTAGTCACACGGAACAAACAAAAGCATAAAGCGAAAGGCCCAAACCTGGTCAAAGACGAAGCTACCCGGGCCTAAGAAGCTCATCGAATATTTTGATTTCGTGCTTCGGAAACTTCTTCAGCTGAGCACCCTCACAGCTTGCACAATGCGCTCCATTCTAATTTTCACCCACGTTCTGGCGGAACGTGGGTGAGCCTCCATACACCTGTACACGGCATGTCGTGAATCAGAAAACGTCTGTACGTGGGTCACTGAGTATCACGTGGTACACCCACGTAAAGTACCCACGGATTACGTGGGACTAAACCTCCCTAGTTTCGGCGTGCCGTGCGAACGCAACAACTTTGGCGAGAGTTTGCTCTTGTCTTTCATCTGCAGCTCCCGACTCACCCGCTTGTCCAGCATGTGGGCGACGAAGCGGTCTCTGAATGTGTGATACGCTCATCCTTTGTGCCAGCAAACTCACAATACTCTGCAGCTTTGTACAGAGCACGGACGAACTCCTCTACGGTCTGGCCGGGTTGTTCTACAAGCTGTTCAAATTTGTACTACTACTACCGTACTGGCAATATATGTTGCCGCGCGCGCAGTGAGGCCATGAAGCGTTACATTGGCACATGTTTGCCGCACGCAGGGCGTTACATGCAAAGTCGCACAGGAACCGTTACACAGGTTTCTATATTGCCGCAGTCCTTTTTTTGCTATTGCCGCATCACTTTTTTGCTATTGCCGCATCATTTTTTTGCTTTTGCCGCATCATTTTTTCTTTTCATCCACATTGAAGGCACAGAAATTCAGTTGCTATACAAACCCGACGGCAAAGGGCGACAACGATATCAATAGAAGACTGTATATTTTAACTATCAGAGGGCAAAACGACCTCGGGAAAGAAGAAACCATTGTGATCGCCAACCACTGAATGATGCGCCTTCGAGTGTCAGGACTTCCTGCTGCGTCCAGTTTTGAACTTTTCACCACGCGGTACACATGCTTTCACAGTTTTCAGCCTTTTTTTTGCAGTGCAAATCGTAAATTCCGCTAGGACCCTAAAGGTCTGACGTGGAATTAAGGTTGCATAAGGAGGTGAGGCTGAGAATGTGACAGTGTGTTAGGCCCAAAATCGCTCCGTTTTCATATAATTCATAGCGCTTTAAAGACAAACACATTCAACCTCATTTCCCGCCAAAACCAACCCTTCCCAGAATCTCTCAGTGGCCTTTCTGAGCCGTTTCTTGAATGGATTACTGTGACAGTGTTCTGGGGTATCACTGCACTGGGAGGGTGGGACACTGTCACATTCTCAGCCTCACCTCCTTATGCAACCTTAATTCCACGTCAGACCTTTAGGGTCCTAGCGGAATTTACGATTGCATTTCGGAGGCTCGGCCTTCGAATGTGACAGTGTGATTTTCAAAGACAAGGCTGAGACCAAATCCCAATACTTGCTCAAACATGTATTCTCCACAGTGATAGAGCTGGAAAAGCAATATTATAGCATTACAACCGTTGAACGTCATCCAGTGCAAACATGGACAACAGCACTCACTCCTCAGGGTAACTAGCCTGACAAGAGAAAACCTCCACACAATTTACGGCACCCTAAGTGATGCACAGACAGTGCCACTCATCCAGACTACATTATACATTGTACAATGTACATGAATGCAATGTTCGGATATTCCCACAAATACTAATACTGCAGTTGGGTTACTACCACGGATTGCACTATCAGTAGGTGAAACATAGGCACCCTCAGTCCGGAGAGGCAGCAGCTGAGTAGGGACAATGGAAGGATGATTATGAATGGCTGAGCTATTGAGCACAGCTTGTGACCATTATAGTGGGATACAAATGTATCAGGCTGGCTCCAATTGGCTGCCAGCTAGGCATCTGACATACAGATGACAGCCTGGAAAGCGGCTGCAGCTGAGGCGCCGCGAGTAGGTGTAATGAGCCTGGAAGGCTGGATCAATTCCCAAACAGAGACAATCTACCCTTCAGCCACTGTGCCAGAGTGGATGAGCCCACTGGTATGTGAGGAGCTGGGATTGCCAAGCCAGTGGTAGAATGCTGATTGCTCTGGTTTCAATCGAAATTTGGCTGTGCGGGCTCTAAATTCTCGAGCATAATCAACTACATTTGTAGGCTAGCCAGACTACCTAGTACTAGTAGTAGCTTGGGAACGAAGAATGAGTTTGGACTTCCGGACCTCTGAGCCTTTGTCGGCGAGGTAAGCTGAAACATCAAGTAGCACCTGCATTTAGTTGATATCCAATGAGGTCAGCTCAAATGATCGAGCTGACTTTGCAAACGCAAGTAGCATTATAGCAATAAAAACTGCTTTATGGCAGTTTTCTAAAAAAAAGTTATTGTGTTCTAGTCCATGGACCCCGTCTAAAAAGTAAGAAATTAACGAAATGTGATAGCTGAAAATTAAAATTTCACACAAAACCTCACAATAATCACAACACTTGAAATGCTGCTTTCAACACTAAACTTGTACTGCACCAACAATTGGCAACATGCATGCATAGGAAAGAGGATCACGAGGGGAGAAGGTCTTCTGCATGTAGCTTTTCATTCTGTGTGTGATTATTGTGAGGTTTTGTGTGAAATTTTAATTTTCAGCTATCACATTTCGTTAATTTCTTACTTTTTAGACGGGGTCCATGGACTAGAACACAATAACTTTTTTTTAGAAAACTGCCATAAAGCAGTTTTTATTGCTATAATTTCTTTTGTTTTTTCTGTCACCATGTACCAATCAATGGAATGCCCTATATCAATATGTAAATGATGGCCTTCACATCATATCAATACCATAATTCTGTCCCTCCAGAAACTTGCGGAGACATTTCGGAAATATCGCGGAAAAAGTTGCGAGGTAAAATGCCACAAATTGCGGGGAATATTGCGGATTTTGTCAAATATTGCGGGATTATTGTGGTAAAATTGCGGCCGATTTTTGTACTTGTACTGTAGTGGTGTACGATGTACGAGTTGTACAGCATAAATCATGCATGCCAAAACAGAACGTGTGCTGCGCTGACTGTGTTCAACTGCCTGACAGGAGCTTGCAAGACAGCTTTCCTCCATCCTCGGACAACACTCGACGCAAGCCTTATTTTGTGACTTGTCAGCCGCTGATTTGCCCAGACATTTCTCCATTCTGGTGTCGATCTCACAAGTAAACTATTGACGAGCTTGAAGAACTAAACAACATCGAAGAAAGACCCGAATATCGCGGTTGCTTTTCGAAATATCGCGGTGCTTTTCAAGTATCAAGGACAGTTTTCTACAATAACGCGGATGATTTTTCAAATATCGCGGATATCACGGACTTTTGTTCAAATCGCGGAAAACAACGCGGCCGCGGAATCGCAAGTTCCTGGAGGGACAGATATTAATTATATGCATTGATGTGCAAGCCTTTTCTTGCAGAAAATGGCACTAGCATAATGCATGTTCTTCTGCGGGGAAACATGTGAGCAGTGGTGGTGATACTTTTTTTATACGGGGGCCATTCTGTGCATGTTGCTGTTGCAGAATTTCATGACTCTGTCATAAAATTGTCTTGCCTTTCAGATTTCTCCACCCTCAATCAGATTTATTTGAGAAATGTAGCCATGCGCCAGGTGCATGTCGCAGATGTTTTTGTTGATTCTGTGTTTATAATGGTTTATAGTCATGGGTTATCGTGATAAGGTCATCCAGCATCATATTGAAACTGAAATCGTAATCCTGTCGATACAACTTTTGGAAGTAGTTCAATGACTTCAAACTGTTAGTCCAGGATTGTCTAAAACAACACAGCAAAGGAGGAACAATAAACATGTATTAAAATGTAAACGAATACATTGCTGAGTCCAAAACCTCTTTCCAACAACTACACTGATCCTGAGGAGAAAAGGAGCAAGGCTATGGTTGGAGGTACTGAGAGATAAACAAGGCACTCCACAATAAT